AAGGAAGGAAGGAAGGAAGGAAGGAAGGAAGGAAGGGAGGGAGGGAGAGGGAAAAAGAAAGAGACAGAGAGAAAGAGACAAAGACAGAGAGAGAGGAGGGGAGAAAGAAAGAAAGAAAGAAAGAAAGAAAGAAAGAAAGAAAGAAAGAAAGAAAGAAAGAAAGAAAGAAAGAAAGAAAGAAAGAAAGAAAGAAACACACAGAGAGAGAGAGACAGAGAGAAATAGAGGGGGGATAGAAAGAAAGAGGGGGACGAGGCAGACAGAGAGAGAGAGGGAGAGGGAGAAAGAAAGAGACAGAGAGAGAAAGAGAGAGAGACAGACAGACAGAGAGAGGATAGAGAGAAAGAAAGAGAGGAGGGAGGGAGAGAAAGAGGGAGACCATATTTTTGCAGCTGGGACACAACAGTTTGTTATTGTGTTCAGCCACCAAAGGTTATAAAGAGTGAAACCTTGTCATTAAGGGTTCGGGAGGGAACAGGGGTAGGAGAGAGAGAGAGATGGACTCTCCTCCAGAGATCCCCCCAAATCAAGTAAAGGGTGACTTTGGATACAAGATTTTTTAAAAAAAAAAATTACTCCCCCCCCCCCTCATAAAAACCCTTACTTTAAGGTCTCTACCACAACGCTTGGCTCCAGAATTTTTATAAAACAGATATAGGGTGTACTCAATTTAATTGGCCCTCAGGACAGAAAGTGTCACCCTACCAGTGATTTTTCACGTGGCCACTTTTGCAAAAAAAAAAAGGGGGGGGGGCATGTCTTTGTGTTGTGCATGTAAATACATTGCCATAGACACCTAATACTGTGAAACATTCATACTCATGCTGAAGGGTTTTGGAAGGCAACCCGTTGTATTTATGGGCTCCTGTAGCACCATTCATTGGATTTTTAAAAAATGCAAATAGTGAGTTGGTTTGCTCATTATGTTTTCTTCCACTTCATTGACTCTCTCTCTCTCTTTCTTTCTTTTCTTAACAGAATTCATCCAAAGTTTCACAGGCCCCTTCTCCTTGGGGTGGCAAGTAAGTATCCCTCGTTCCTGGAAGGGAAATTGTAAAATAGGATATCGGGAAGAAGGAGCATTTCTTGGTTGATGAAGATCAGTTCTTAGACTAGGTGTAATGCAGAGGTGGGATTGAGCAGGTTCTGACTAGTTCTGGAGAACCGGTAGTGGTAATTTTGAGTGGTTCGGAGAACCGGCAAATACTATCTCTGACTGGCCCTGCCCCCATCTCTTCTCCACCTCCCGAGTCCCAGCTGATCGGCTGGGTCTACTTTGGTTGCTCTGCACAGGAGAACAGAGCTGAAAAGCAGGTTAGCGGGGTGGGGAGGGGATGGGATTTTGCAGTATCCTTCCCCTTCCATGCCATGCCCACCAAGCCACGCCCACAGGACCAGTATTAAAAAAAATGGAATCCCACCGCTGGTGTAATGGAGGTTGAAGTCTAACAAGCAGAATGAGAAAAAAAATCTTCATATGGAGTGATAGATCCCACATTCTTCTTCAACCCAATTGAAGACTATAAAGGACTTGGTTAGGAAGGACCACACCACTCCCAGGAGAGCAAAGAAAAGCTTAAGGTCGAAGTTAATGTCTGTCTCTTCCCACCAACAGTGATTTGTTCAATAGTAAAAGCCAAGAATTATTTAATGGGTATATTACAACCGCTGTTAATAAACCGGAAGCATTATGGAACTTGAAGACCACCTTCACTCTGTTTATTTGCTCTAATTCCATCTGGTTTCAACCCTAAAGCGCGATTTTCTCAATCACACACAAAGTTGGATCTTGGAAACCCGGTGTGTGCCACCTGCACTTATCATCAGACGGGCCGCGCACACGTTGTGATCGCCCAAGCTGAACGCAGCCTATCTACCATGAATAACGTGCCACCACGAGCGTCTGAGACCATAAAGAACAGGAGGCATTGTCACAACAGAGCCATCCATCATGCAGGGCAGCTGCTGATGTAGGCAGAGAAGGGAGGCACCGTAGGGTATGAAGGACAATTTGTTTTCCATCCTTGATGGCTTTCCCTTGAACCCAGGGCCAAGGATGCCTCTTGGGGGAAGGAGGAGAAAGCTGCTCGATCAGAACCCTTGAGATAACATGGATCTGGTGCAGAGCAATATTGCATCTATAGAGATTCTCCATCCTCCAGGTCACAGTTGCCCCAAAGGTGCTTTTTTCAGGAGGCAACTGGACTTCCTTGTTTTCTTTTTTTTTAATTTTGAAGACGTTTCACTTCTCATCCAAGAAGCTTCTTCAGCTCTGACAGGATGGTGACGAATGCAAGGACTGATACTCCTTGCAGACAGCTGGTCATTTGCATCCTTTTAGAGAGTTACTGAGGCCACTTGGAGGTTTATCTGTGTCCTCAGGGTCACCTGAGCAGCACTCCCAGTTCCTGTAGTCTGTAATTTTTCCTCTGGAAATCCATTCCTACTCCCACACTATTCCAAGGGTGTCCATCCCAAACTGTATAGCTAAAAGTCTGTAGAGATTCCCAGTCATCCAAGTCACTAAACAAACTGCTATAAGTCAAGGACATCCTGTAGATGGAGGGTCAGCCTTTCCTGTTTTCACATTTCTTCTGAGCCACAGACTTTTTAGAGAGGTCTGAACTGCTGCTCTGGAGATTCAAATTATTGTGAGGACACTGCAGTGCCCACCGTTAACCAAGGGTTTGGTTGCTGCCTCCTTTGCACAATGCAAAATCGAAGACAGAGGCCCTTATCTGATTCCCATTTAATCATTGATCTCTTTTCCTAGGGAAATGGGATCTCTAATTCTGTGAGAGCAAAACTAATAGATCTTTAACTCAGGACACCAATACTCATAAGTATTGTGTGTGGAGGAGGAGGGAAACTATTGTCGTCCCTAGTTCTTCTTTTCATCAAACTAGACATACCCAGTTCCAAGCAACGGTTCTTCATATGTTTTAGCCTCCAGTCCCTTCATCCTCTTTGTTGCTCTTCTCTGCACTCTTTCCAGAGTCTCAACATCTTGTTTGCATCGTGGCAACCAAAGCTGGATGCAGGATTCCAAGTGTGGCCTCACCAAGGCCTTATAAAATGGCATTAACACTTCACATGATCTTGATTCTATACCTCTATCCAGGGGGATAAATCAAATACCTCTGAAATCACATCCGCATTACATGGATTTTTGGAATTTTGATCCGCTTCAAATGCATATTTTTTAAAAAATAATTCAGTTACTGAACGTAAAATTCTGCTAGGAGCAGCTGTCCCATAGTACTCTAAGCTGGCAGATGTTTTCCTAAGTGTTGGTGTTAAAAAGACAATGCACGTGGGAGGATTAGTGAGCGCCAAGTAGGTAACTTAAAAAGCAACTTTATAGAAAACACTATCCCAGTGATTTGATGCCAAAGACTTTAAAAGAGCTAAGAATGCCTGCAGAAGTATAGGATTAATGCCGTATGTGATGTCTTCTACCGCCCAGGAAGGCGGATTTAAGAACAGTTTATAGGGAAAGGGGCTAAACTATTGTAGCAAATTGAATTTTTCTTCCCATCAATTATTAGTCAATAATTCAGGCTGTTTCCTAAGCGGGGTAGGAAGATCACAACATTTTTAGCATCCTTTGTTCTAGGATTATTCTATCATTTTCCTGTTCCTCCCCAGAAAAGTTATAATTCCAGTTCTTCATCTAGCAAAATCATTTTAAATTCTACCTGTCATATCAAACCTTTCCCCTGCAAAATAATGTCGCTTTTCAATTCTATCATAGAGTCATAGGGCTGAAAGGGACCATGATGGTCTTTTGGTGTAACCTCCCTCCCTCAAGGCCTCACAATAGTTG